AAAGACTCATGAGGGAATTCTAGTAAGGAGCTGCACTGCCAACCCAAAAGCAAGTGGTTCATATCCACCAGCTGCTCCATGGAGAAAAGATATGTATTCTGTGTGATTCTGCCTTGAAAACCCACTGGAAAGTCAGCTATGTGTAGTTCTATCTTGTATGTAACAACAACAAAAGTTTCATGTCTATGGGGGTCATTTCAATGTCCTCTTTGGTGAAATGCCTATTCAAGCCCTGTGGCCATTTTATGACTGAGCTGTTGTCAAAGTTATCTAGATATTTGGTTATTTAGATTATTGGCTACCTCCTTTGTATAGATGTTTTCCTACTTGGCAGCTTTTTTGAAGAGCAAATATTTTCAATCTTTTACAGTCTCATTTGTTTGACTTTTAGTATTTGTGCTTTTGTTAAAGTACATAATCCATTGCTGAAAGCTAAGCCTGTCCCCTCTACTTGTCCAGACAATGTTTTGGTTTTATATTGCACATTTAGGTTCTTAATAACATTTTAATTTTTGTGTATGATGGGAGGCATATATGTTAATACATTGCCTTAATTGAGGCATATATAATAACAAATACAATAATTATTATATATGATATCCAGTTTATTTTGCATGTGACTGTTCAGTTATACTAGCACCATCTGATGAGAACACAAATCTCCATTGAACTACTAAAATATAATTGTCCACAAATGTTTGAAGATTCCCCTCCTTGATTATGGACACTCATTGATATGCATGTCTAGTCTTGTATCAGTACCAGAGTCTTGATTGTAGCTCTGTAGTAAATTTTGACGTTTGGAAATATATTATCTTCCAACTTAGTTCTTTTTCAAGCTTGTTTTAGTTATTTGGGGTCTTCTGCATCCCTCTTATAAATTTCAAGACCAGCTTGTCAATTTCCACATAAAAGGCAACAGGGATTTAGATTGTGTTCAATACTTACATCAACTTGGAAATACAGCCTTTTAACATATTGTCTCCTAACCCAGGAACAAAGATGTCTATTTATTTAGGACTTTGTCTTGTCTAGCACTGCTATAACTGAAACATCATAAATAGATGTTAAAAAACCAACTTCTCTCACAGATCAGAAGGCTAGAAGTCCAAATCCAGGGGACCTAGATTCTAGACCCAGATCTAGAGGAAGGTTTTTTGGTTGCCTGAGGACAGGTTCTCCTGTTCAACTTCCACAGGCCTAGTGTCTTTTGAAGATCTTCATATGCCTTAGCATCAAACTTCCTTTGGCTCAGGAGATTCTTAGAGCGAAGACTCTGGGTCCAAAGGATGCCCTCTGCTCTTCTTTCTTGTAGAGCTGAGGTCCCTGCTCATTTGTTTAATCTTTTCTATCTTAAAGACATTGATCCAAGATACAACCTAATTGGTAGATGCCTCTTGCCTCATGAACATCAGAGGTTAGGATTTAGAACATAAAGGGGAATGACATCAGATCACAAAATAGAGAGTAATCACATGATACAGAGAATCATCATGGTCTAGCAAGTTGACTTTTTTTGGGGGGGCAGGGGAAGGCACAATTTGATCCATGTCTTTTTTACACTCTTGAATGATATTATGCAGTTTTCTTTTTTAAAATTATTAATTTTAATGAAAATTTAGACTTTGGATTTCCATTCATTCATTGTTGCACTTTTCTCCC